GCAGCTGGTGAAGCTCAAGCGCACACTTACATAAATTAATTATACGATTATTTGGTTCCGTTCATGCCTTTGCTATTTGAAAGAAAAAATTAAAGTAATCGTGTTTATAAAATGTCAAAGATTTATGTAGTTGCTTTTTTAAAGATGTGGAAGTCTTAAGTGGTAGAAAATGATATAATATGTAATTTTAAAATCTTTTAATATAATTAAAAAAACCTTACAACGAATACACACTTTATTCGTATTTAACAATAATAAAAATATTGAATTTGTACTTAGCATTAAAATACTTATTTGCAATCTTAACAATTGCTCGCAAAATGTCTTTCATACTCCGCAAATTAAAAAAGATATATGTGTTTTCACACGGATATTACCGCATTGGAAACCCGTGGTACAGCATGTTTACAAATAATGCATAAAATTGTTTACAATCCTACATAAATAGCTTTTTTTAAATAATATAATAAATATATTAGTAAAGATAGAATTGGCATATTACACAAACATTTATATTGCAAAAAAGTGCTAAACCTTATTAATGATGTAAATTTTAAATAATACATTATGTACTGGTCTCCCAACGGTCTACAATGTCACTGGTAATCTTAAGATGAAATCCGTTGAAACAAATGTTATAAAAGTGTACAGAAAACAGCAATAGACACATGATTTTCCGGCCATTGTTTTGATGAACAATTTTATAATTCAATATAAAATACTAAAACAATTAGTCCCGTGTCATCTTTAGACTTATAGGTGTGTAAAAATAGTTGGACAAAGCTATTAAATATTACACGTAGGTTTTCATTGTTGATAGGTTCCCAGATACGCATTACAGTTGGGGCAATAGTGGTCAGCATTCTGGCAGCTGTTCATACAGTAAGGCACACAAACACAGGGCCAGCATCTGGAAATAAAAACGTTTTTACTCTAATCATCAAATGTTCATCATTGCTTGTTTCAGGGGGAAAGGGATCCATAATTCATCGGGCTCCTACAATCTAATGATCATTACATTGTAGGGATCCATCATCCATTGGGTTACTATAGTCTAATGATTACTAAATTCCTTTTTGTGAGCTTTTGCAACCTTGTCAGGTCATGGTCATTTAGTAGTTCTACATTTAGTAGTTCTAAACTTTGAATCGTGTACAGACATAATTCAAGCGATTTAAATTGCACCTCGACCTTGGTAATAATCGATTTTTTTAAATCTAAAAAAACCTAATAATGTTTTTGATTCATAACGTGATAGCAACTCGACGATATGATCTTCGATTAATAGATGTATCTGTACATGCAATTATAGTCCTTAATGCAAGATACAAAAGGTGGTTATTTCTAGTGTTAGTACTTACAGAAACAAGCATAGTACAAGAGCTATTATGTGTGTTTTTGTTGTGGCTTTGCGCTCGACCCTCGAAATGATGGCGGCGCCGCACGACGAACACGTCAGACGGGTGGGGTCAGGTCCCACTGGTGCGATATTCATGTTGACTCTGAAAAACGTTAGAAAAATGGATCAATAACTATTCTCAACAAAACTCAAATATACATTTTAATTGGTGGTCTTAATTAGAACAGTATTATTGAACAATATATATATAATGTTCGAAACTTTTTCCAAAAAGTTCGAATTAACGGTTCCGTGCAGGTAGAGAAAACTGACAGGATCTCCTTCTTTGTCTTTCCCTTATCCTCTTTTTCCCTCCTACCTGCAAGTCTGATCAAATGGAGAAAAATCCTCGAGGCAAATACCGGCCATTTAACTAATCGACCTGACATTAGGACTACCAAGTTAACAAATAGAAAAGTGTCCAAAAACAGATCATTTTAATTATGTTTATTGGCAGCCCGGAATTGTTGCACAATGTTTTCTTCTTTCGTATATTATTTAGACATAGAAACAAAGGACGGTTGCGACAAAATTAGCAACTACAATAGCATGACTACCTACGAATCACAAATGCGGAATTCTAAAAAAAATTATAAAATTAAAATTTCTATATTTTCAACCAACTAGTTTTTATTCTAATTCCCATGACACATACCGTGGCTATCCAATGAACGACCTCGAAAAATTATAAATAACTACAAATGTGTCTTTCCAAACATACTAATTTCATTGGAGTTATCTACAACAGTAACGGCAGCTATAATCTAAAAGGGTACTTTAAACATTACCTAAGATAAACATTACCTAGTTTAACATTTGTATTTATTTAGATATCAAGACAAACATATACATATTTGCAGAGAGGTTATAAATCCAATATTTGCGTAAAATGTAAGTATTAAATAAAAGTACACTTAGTTTACATTTCTACAATAACATGTTATAGTTACTATTACTAGAAATAAACACATATATTAACTAACCTGTTGATATGTTAGCAATTTAAAAAGTGAAAATGTCGTTTTCTCTTGCGCCGGCCACTTAGCAACCAATCCACAGCGTTGTTAGTAAGCGACTGCGCGGCTTGTGGGTCGCGCGGTGTTTGTAACTTGAGCAAGGCTTCGTGTATCAAATGACTCATTAAATTATTACAGATAAGAAAACACTATTGATAATGTGATTAATAATACGTAAATGGTTTCACGTCACTTTTATTAACAAGTATAGATTTTGACAAACATCAACAATCTTACTAATCTTACTAATAGATGGATGGATGGATAGATGGATGGATGGATGGATGGATGTTTGTTAGCGTTTGTAGCCTAAACGGCTGAACGGATCTCCATGAAATTTGACACAGGTTTAGAACATAGTCTGGAAGAACACATAGGCTACTTTTTATCCCCGGAATAGTTATGGTTCCCGTGGGATTCATTAATTTAGTTTTTTAATGTTTACTCGATCATTCTGCAACGGTTCAACATATCTTATTGAAATTTGGCACAGATATAAAACAAAGTCTGGAGTACACATGGGATAAACTTCATCCCCGAGGAATGTCCGGTTCCCGAGGGATATGTAGCTTTTTGTAATTTATATAGTTCGTATGTTTTCTAATACCACGCGGATGAAGTCGCGGGCAACAGCTCGTTCTAAATATAAACGGAATTATCGTTTAATTTCAGTTATCATAGACTTTGTATTTTAAGTAAATCAATAGAATTTAATTTTAAAGGTACTAAAGTGATAAAGTAAAACGCTGTTTTTTACGTTGTAAATATTAAATTTAATTGTCAAAACTAAGTAGGTATATAAAGATAAAATGGTGCAATATCGACAGTCGATAACTCGGTTATTATACGTCATGCGGGGAGTCCCCGCATACGGACTGACGACTAATTAAAATGATTGGTCGATGTTAAGAAAGCGTCGTGCGGAGACGTAGTGGACTCGTAAGGTGTTGTGAGAGTCTAATGTAAGGATACCCAGCAGTAGTAACTAATGAAAACGGTTCTCATATTCAGGCACTATGTAATATGTGGACAGAAAACCTCTTGACCCACGCATGCGGGCGGTAACGACTAATTAAACAGCGCTCTTACATTAAAACACGTTGAATTTTGATTCCATTTTGTTTTGATGACTTAAAAACATGCCTTATAAAAATCTTCACACCTGAAACATCAAATAACGAAACCAGATGTTTAGACAACAAAACAATACGGCGATAAATTATGTAAGCGATGAAAATGCTTTTAGTGGCTGCACACGCAGTTCAAGACCCCATAAAGATCAACTAAGGTGCGGAGTCTGAGATAGATGCAACGTCGGCGGAATAAAAATGAGAGGGCGGTGTAAATAACACCCTACAACCTACTTAACTACTTAGAATTCTGATGTATAGTGTCCTACACAATATCGTTTATGAGATTTAATACTAAGTAGTTAACAAAAATGGCGGCGTTCTGTGGATGCCCTCTGCCCCACTTTGGGGACATAGGAATAGGAGACAGAGAGTTAACAAAACTGGCGGCGTACTGTGGTCGCCCTCTGCCCCACTTTGGGGACATACGAATATGGGGAAAGAGAGAGAGAGTTAACAAAAAGTCATGTGAAAATTTATTTCCATCAAATTAGAGTTTGAGAAAGGCTACATACATCCGCGCCTAATGGTTCTCAGTGTTGTGTGTTGGCGTAGGTGTTATGTTCACTATAAAATAAATAATACATATCGAATTTATTTAAATGACCATATGAAAAGTACAGCGTAATTTGATTTATTTCTAATAAAAAAACTTATTGTAAATAGATCCGTATTGAGATACAATTGTATCATAAAATACTTATGATGTATTTTCTTTTTAAACCAATTTCTCTGAAAACGGCGCAATGGAAGATTTTTATAGAAGCGTTCGCTGTATTTACACCGTTCAGACGTTATTTGATCCCGTAGCCTAAACTAATCTTTGAACATTGGCTGAGAAGGGTAAGTAAGATATCTTCACACTTTAATATCTGCTTGAAGAGAGAATAGTAGCAATTTTTTGTGTATTACATTTAAGCGTAATATTTTAGTACATGTTTAAAAAAAATGCGTCCTATTTCACCTGAAATACTAAAATGGTAAACGGATCTCGTTGAATTTTGGAATAGATGTAGAACATAGTTTGGAAGAACGTAGCTGCTTTTTAAGTTTATTTTAAAATTTCACATCGACGGTGACGCGAAACAAAATCTAGTAATAAATAATAGGAAAACTAATAATTTTATCTTTATTTTATTCAAAAACCTACATATTTGTATGTGCTTTGTTTCCTGCTACAAAAATAAAAGTTGACGAAATCCTAGGTATATAAATGCAAATCAGGAAATTGAACTGATATATTTGTCCAATTCGATTTATGTTTAAAATTTAATGAAACCTTTTAAATTGCCAAGTAAATATGCGTAGAAGAATTTTTATTAGTAAACCCTTCGCATTGTTTGGAGTTGACCCTTGTCAACGGTCGTTTTAGGCGTGACCCGTTGGTAGAAAGTATGCACATTTTGTTATGAACATTTATGTAAGATCTAGTATACGAAATACAGTTATTTTTATTATATTATTGATAATATGTTAACTCCTATTGTTTAATATTCTGTGCGATATAATTTCAGAGCACGCGCGCCTCGGGTAACTTTGACTGGCTGTTTGGTTTACCTAAACAATATTTATCCTAGTGATACGAGTTATTCAGTCATTTAGCATTTTCCTTCATGTTTATGTATAATTAACGACTATGCTTAACTATCGTAACAATATGTGATTTTTAGTCACATTTAAAAAATAGGTAAAAAGTATTTTTGTATGAATGTGAAAATTTCATCAGGCGCTTGTTAAATAAATATTACAAAGCAACCAGCAAACAAGTAAGAGATATTGATAAAGACTTAAGTAAATATTATATTTTAGGTTAAGACGTTAATAAAATATTACTTTTACAATTTAATTTACAAATAAAAAAATAGTTAGAAATTGACCGAGATAACCCTTTCGAAATTATTTCATTCAGAAGTTTGGGCACAGAACCCTCTTCATTTGAATGCTTACAAAACATTTAGCGTTTGTTAATTTTAGAAATTCTCATAAAGGATCAAACAATACGCTGTAAGGCAGTTCCAGAATGGTTATGTCAACTGCACACAATATACGGTTTCAGTGATGTATTAACCTAAACCTATCCGTTGTTAGTCATTGTGAGTTTAAATAAATAATAGAAAAACTATGACACTGTTTCGGATATATTTTAACCTAAACGTTAACCCTTTTATACCGTCACTCAGTGACCGGCGCATTCTTTTGATAAATGTTGTTTATTAGTACACGAGCTTTCGCCCGCGACTCCGTCCGCTTGGAATTAAAAAAATCAAAAGTGAGTAGCCTATGTGTTCTTCCAGACTATCCTCTACATCTATGCCAAATTTCATCGAGATCCGTTCAGCCGTTTGGGCTGCAAACTTTAACAAACATCCATACATCCATCCATCTAAACTTTTTTATAATATTAGTAAGAAGTAAGATTACGTGCAGGCTTAGGTAATATGATTTTGCACAATAAATAACGATGTACTTATATTTAAAGTGGGATGGGGATATATGTAGGTGAATCATATAACTACGATGACATCCATAGTAACAATCAGCGGCTATCAAAACATGTGTTTACTAAACAGTTTCTAACTATAATTTTTGAGGTTATACAAATGTTAGTATTGACGTTTGCATTAAAAATATTCTAAATCAAATGATTTGGAGATAATGATATACACAATGAATGTTCGTTAACTTTTTAAAATCTTATTGCAGTGTAGTAATTATTTGCATTTCTTTTTGAATAAAAAAATTTAAATCGTGATAATCTCGAAAATATTCTCTAACTAGATTACACTTTTAATTAATGCTTCCTTAATTATGTATTAGAGAGCCGAACTTCTCCACTAAGCCAGCGGGTCATTAATTATCCATAATGAGCAGAATGAGGAGCTTAATGCATATTGATGTCGACATAATTGTATTTTCAAAGCAATCAATATTGGACGCTCGCATTATACGTATACAACACATTGCAAAGTCAACACGCTGGGCGCCGGCATTCACTGTTAATTGATTGCGCGCTCCAGATTGGATGGGCTTTAGTGTACCTAGTGTCCAACAGCGCTGACTTACTGATTAAAAAGAACAGATATGAAGAGTCTAATCAATCAGATTGTAACATTAACTACGGCAGCTAGAATATCATATTCGAAGATTATAATATAACTTTTTTGAATCTTCTATTTACGTTTCAAGTTACTACCATTTATCATACGATAGTAAACTCGCCAAATAGTGAACTGTAAGAAATTTAAAAAATAAAACGTTATAGACACCATTGTCATAAAGCGTCAGTGGCTCAGTGGTTTAAGCTTTTGACTCTGGTCTTGGGGTCGAATCCCGCCATGTACCATGTGATTTTAGATTTTTCGAATTTTCACATGTACATAATTTAGCCGACGTTTTTACGGTGAAGGAAAACATCGTGATGCAACCTACACATAATCGGCGAAGAAATTCAAAGATATGTGTGAAGCCAACCAACCCGCATTTGGCCAGCGTGGTTGACTATGGCCTAGTCACCCCCTTATTTAGGTTAGGCTCCGAGCCTCTTAGTGGGGACGTGCAGTGAGCTGCTGATGTATTGTCATAGACATGTTGCCAAATATCCTGTTAGTTCTGATATATTATTTGTTACTGTAAGCGATATAGCAATTTCCCATCCAATTTGTCCAGCAACGATGATTATACGTTGAATAGTTTACAGCTACGAGTATCATGATCAGTTACTGAATAACTTTATTCGTGTAAATCAGATATCGCAGACGAGTATTTACATTTGAATCGGCCTGAATCCTTTGGCTTATTCACCGCAGCCTCGAGTCGATATCAATTTAACGTTTGCAACGACTTAACCCCGGACCAACGTTTAATTTCCTTTCAGTCTGCTTACGTAGCTCTTGTTCACCATTTCACTCTTGATTCTATTTAATTCAATATATCGCTGTTAATTA